TTGATGTTATTCTGCATATGGTAATAGCAAATCCCTCTTGTTGCCCATGGGAAGACAGTTTCAATTGCGTTTGCGATAGCTGGGTGTCTGTCAGAGACAATGACAAGTGGGAAGTCCTGAGTGAAGCAAGCCTTCAGGTTATTCATAAACCACCCCCAAGACTCATTATTCTCGGCATCTACAACAGCAAAAGCCAAAGGGAAGACTTGAAAATTACCATCCTGCCCGGCTGCGACAAGAAGTGTACCACCATACTTCCCCGTCAAATGAGTCCCATCAACAATAACCACTCGCCTGCAGTACTGAAAACCAACCATGCAAGCTCTAAAAGATATAAAGCAGTACTTGAAGCGATCAAGTTTATCCCGGACAAGGTCGGTAATAGTTCCAGGGTTTGCTTCCTTCGTTCTATGCAAGTATGAAGCCAAGTTCGCATACCCGTCTTCAGGTGTCCCTCTGACGTATTCATGAGCAGCTCTCAAAGACCTGTATGCTGTCGTATAGTTCAGCTTCAAGCCGAACATCACTTTCATGGATATGACGATGTGTTCAGGCACAATTCCCTCGATAATCCCAACCCTCTCTATGAATAAGGCGCCGATATATTTTGGTGTGCAGCTTTTCCGGTTCGCTACTCGGTCGGCGACAGAACAAGTATGATGCTCACATACTTTGTGACGAAAAACGCGATTGCCTCGTTCTTCAGAGACGCCCTAACTCGCCATGCACATCCGTTTACGTTGCAAGTGGCAACAAAGAGAGCTGGTGAGGACTTGAAGACACGAAACGAGAATCTGTGCACTACAGCCATCAATCGACACATATTTAGAAGTTCATCCTTGCTTGCAAAACGCTGTCCAACCTTGATAACGGCGTCCCTATACTTATCAAAATGGCCTCCTTCATTATAGCAGCGTCCTTTGAGCCGGATATCATCAAGCGGAACCTTTTTCTCGCGCACATCTTCGTCTGGGACTCTGCCATACTCACTATAATCAGCTTCTGCTTCATCAATCTCACCATTGGTCCAATCGGTTGTTGGTCTTGGTTCATCTACGGGTTCATCGTCTGCATCATCGTATTCGTTTGCCTGTGCATCCCAATCTTCATCATCAGTAGACAAGCCCCACTCGCTATCCGATCCGACATTATCACCATCTGGTAAATCGCTTTTCGCAGTATTCATCCGCTTGCTCGAAACACTCAGCCGTATAACATGCAGTCGACTTAGTTCTACCAAGACTTGAACTTGCCTATCAGTCGTTACAAACGTAGGAGGAGAATCGATAGGTACCCCCTGGATAATATCAGCTGGAAGTGGGTACGAAACCTCAATAAGCTCAGAATTCGAATCAACCCCATATTCATCGTTTGCCATTTCAACAAGCTCGCCATGGGTACAACCATCTCTCAATGAGAACAGTCTACCGCCCTTGTCGTCATCCACTACGAAGAACCAAGTCCCTTGCTCTCTCCTCTCCCATTTCCCGTAAACAGCCGCTACGTACACCATCTCCTGCGAAACAAATAACACAACGTCAATGAACGATTATAAGTACACTTCGATATGAAATCAACATGTAGACTTCATTGTGCAGTCTACTACATTTCACCTAGACTCCACCAAAAACTAAATATTTGATTACCTTCAAAATATAATGATTAAGCAAGTCAAATTGTTACACAGCCAAATAAACAGATAAAAACAACTTACTGTCCAAGAAAATCTTCAAAATTAGTTATTCATGTAGCACAAACACCTAATTTACAAAACTGTAACAAAGTAGACTTCATGTAGAAATCTACATGTGGACTTCAGCAGGAAGTCAACTTAGGGGTATACTTTTGCAAGAATATTTTGGGAAGTCTACAATGGAAGTCAACAATTAGAGGGGTATACTTTTGCAATTGACCAAATCACGACTTTTTGAAATAGACTTCTTTTTCTAAAAGTAGACTTCCCTCTGAAGTCAACAGTGATAAGTAGACTTCAATAAGAAGTCAACAACAAAAAGTAGACGTCATATCGAAGTCTACTGCCAAAAGTTGACTTCGTAAAACAACGTTTGCAGTTGGTGTACCCCGAGTTACTATTCATTCGTTGACCAGTAGACTTCTTTTTGAAGAAGTAGACTTCACCGTGAAGTCTACGCTCAAAGTAGACTTCACGATGAAGTCTACACGTCAAAGTAGACTTCGCGGGGTAGTCTACAGACTAAAAAAGAAGTCTACATCAAAAAGTCGTGATTTGGTCAATTGCAAAAGTATACCCCTGATGCGTAGACTTCATATGTAGACGTCATTACCGAAAGTCGTCGTCAAGTCAATTGCAAAAGTATACCCCTCCCGAAAAATAGACTTCACAATGAAGTCTACACATGGGGTCCACCTTTTTTTGTTGTCAAAGGATTACTGTAGACTTCTCAAGGAAGTCTAAAAATCCAAAAAATTTGAAGGCGTTTGCAGTTAGTGTACCCCGCGTTCACATGTAGACTTCTATATGAAGTCTACAACGCGCCGGAGATCTGAAATTCACGATAAACGAACGGAAAATCACCTTGATTTGCTGTTTGGTTGCGTCGACGGCGGATTGGTTCGATTTAAACCTTCAGCGGAGAAGCCCAGCCGTTGCCGTGAACTTCGTGACCGGAAATGGCATCATACAAGAACTTATATTTTTGAGAGATGGATTATAGAGTTTTTGTGATGAAATTGGAGAGAATAAGTTAGAGAAGAAGGTTACAAGAGCACATTGTGTGATTATGGTGGTGTAAAAGGGAAGAAGAAGCATTAAAAACCTTGGATATGGTTGAGAATGGTTGTTGGGTGAATTGAATTTGATGGCATTTCTGTGAATAAATGAAGGAGATGAGGTTAGTTTGGAAATTAGTAATTTCGAAAAAAATGGAAAAATAGAAAATATGATGGCATTTTGGTATATATGATAAGAGGGTAAGGATGATATAGAGAAAAGAGGTGTAAGTATTAGAGGGGTATACCAAAAACATTGACCACAAATTGGGAGTCTACTTTTGCAAACAGCCCAAAAAAAAAAGAACAAATTTAAACTTTACATAAGTAATTAAAAAAATATGAGAAAGACTTTTGAGAGGACATGAATGAAACTGGCGAGAGGTTCCGCGACGACATTGTATGTCCGTCTTGTCCAAAGTCTTACTCAAAAGATCTTCCGCTTCTAGTCTTTAAAATATCTCTTCTTCTTTGACTTACAATTTTTATGTGCACGCAAAATATCAAATGTTTGCTATATATTATCCGGAAGTAGATAAAAAAAGGTTAGTAAAACCCTCGTTAAAAAAAAAGTATATAAGATAATGTTTTCATAATTGGATTCACAATGAAGATCTTCATAGTCTCCACATCTTTTTAGTATGCGTTAACGTTCAACCAAAAATTCCTGATTATTCAATAATCACAATTGCGTCGCTTAGTTGTTGCTCTTTTTAACTTGTATGTTATTATCTTTGGCCGTTTATATTTGGAAGTAAAGTTGGAGGTAGATTATGAAGCAACATTGTCCCTTCTAGTGACTATAATTCAGGAAATTATTAGTTAGACTTGTTTTTATCTTGTGAGTTTTAAGTCCCAAATCGTTAACCTACTCAGAGACTCACAACATTCTACTGTATCACAAGAAACCCTTTGATAACTTTTTGTTTGTTTGTTGAAGGACCCTTTGCTTACTTTTCCCCTCGTAGATCAGACTCATTATTATATATATTTATCCATGGCGGTATAAATGTATAATCAATATTATATCATACTTATTTAAATGTTTTCTTTTTTAATTCGTGTAATCTAATTAATTAGGGTAAAATGTCGATATGTTTTTACACTTATTATATCACACTTATTATATCATACTTACATAAGAATTTGATATGTTTTTCAATTGTTGTGGAAAAATTGTAACACCCGCCTCTTGTCTCTGCAATAACGGCCTGCCACCCATTTAACTTTCCGCTCAAGTAAACCACATTTACTTAAAAACAGTATTCTTATTAATAAATCCAATCCAAAAGAGTCGTATAAATCCAACTTTAACTTAGGGATCCAAATTGCTAAAAAACATTTCAAAGTCTCATAGTAAAAACGGAAAGAAAGTGGACAGGTTCCAAGACATAACACATCACACACTTTAGAGTCACTATTTTGAATGGGTTCCATCATTCCACGAAAAGAAGAAGAAAATTATTTCTCGGTAGTGTTATGTTCCAACCCATTATTAGTTGAATTTAATCAGCACAAACATAATTTTGTATCCAAAAATACGGTTGGGGCATCTCAACATTAATTGCGGCATTCAATTGAATTAATTGCCACGCATTTTTCCAAAGTGCCACCGTATTTTTATAATAATATACATTTACATATAGTCCATAAATGAAAAACTTTCTCCTAAATAATCTGTGAATCCTCTTTCCATGTTTCTCTGTTACCATCCTTTTCGTTCCCTGCTAAAAAGAACCTTCAACTAGCCGTGTTTCAAAATAACTCTTTCAAACATAAAATAAGAAATACTTTTTTTGGTTGTCAAGAGTAACAGCCAAAGCATTTCAGATGATGGTTCAACCCCATCACCGAAGCGTGATTTTGAATCAATGCATGGTGTCCCAGCCGGATCTTCCACTTCGAAGAAGCATTGCCCCAAGCAACTTCCTACAGAGGCCAGTAGAGAGCTGGTCAATCCGGATGGACTAATTAGCCAGCATCCCGAAGCAAATAAGAGCGAAGCTAAGCTCCACCAACTCACCGAGAATTGACGTTAAGCGTAGCATGCAGAAGAGTCTCCAATAATTAATTGTTTTCAATCAAGGATCGAGCTTATGTTCTCCATGTGTTTTTATTTTGCTACACAGTTGGTTTTCTATTTATTTCATTTCTTTTTCTGGCAACTTTTTAAAATAATGGAGCTTTTGTTTTACATTTGATTTGCTTAACTATATTTTTCTATATCAACTATCAATACACAAATACAACATGGAGACTTTTCCAAACTGAGTAGGATACGTACCTAATAGATGCCAGATTTCAACATGCTCTGAAACGTCATATACTAAATTAACCGCAGTTATTGGATTACCTGCAAGTAATGTGATCTACAAATGTTCAAGATGGTCTAACCCGTATATATTCATAAACCTAGAAAATATAACTCAAATTTATTGGAAATAATGTGATCTATCTTTAAATAATGTGAGGGTGTCAATAGACATGTTTTTGCAAAAGATGGCACTCTCTAATTATATAACCAAATTATAATCGAGGTCAAAATACAATTAATTGGACGATTAAATATTCTGTTTGAGATTTGTATTTTGTAAAAGTTAGTTGTTCATATAAGTGGGAATGTTTATATATTTGAAAAGTTTGGTGAAACCGGGAATCTCAATTGTTATATTTTAAGCTTGAGTGACAAGTTTAATGGAACACTAAACCTCCAGTCACGAGGAAGAGGAAATTGACCTCAAGTAACAATGAAAATGTAGATCCAAACTCAGAACCGGTAACATGCACCCATCTCCTTTTTTTATTTTATTGTCTAATTGATGAAGTAGAATCATGATGAGGATTTGGTTTCCATGGTCAGGTGAAAATGAGTCAAGGTTACAGAACTTACAAAAGAGGAAGAGACAACGTGGAAGGAGAGTACTGCAGGATATCTCACCAGATGACGATGATGTTTTTGGAGGATTTTCGGATGATAACCTGGATTTTCGGTCTGGTCGCCGTGATGTGATGATCTCGGTCGATCGTGGTCCATTGCCTCCCGGTCGGACGGTGCGGTCGTGCGGCCGGATCGTCCTGGAGAAGGCCGAGCGAAGCCAATTCCCTTCCTGTCCGGCCGAGTGCGTTCGGCCGGCTGTAACCAGTCTTCAGTACAAACGTGATATCTCCTAAACGGCTTATCCAAATTGCATACTTCCAACGGCATTGGAACAATAACTCATCTGCCTATCTTGTTGAGTTTCATTGAAATCCATTGAGTTTAAGGGTCCAAGCCGCTGCTGCTCGTCTGATGTACTGATGCAGTCCGATAAAGCTCCTCGGTATATGTCTCAGGGAAATAGAGATATCTCCCAATCTACTCGGTCAAATTGATTGATTCCAGTTGCGTTGCAAAGCTAACTCACGTATGCATCTCCTCGAACTGGATTTGATGAATTCCATTGAGTAGAATGTTTTTAAGGCCCTTCTTAAAGTTGATGCTACGTCCTGGAGCGGTCTTGAAGTCCAAATCCTGTGTTTTGCTCCAAAATGCATCTTTTGACCTGTTTAGACTCTAAGTACTATAAATCCATAAAAACTACCTTTTTAGATCAGAAAGCCATTAAAAACCTTATGAAAAGCATAGTAAAACCATATAAAAAGCATGTAAAATAGAGGTATATCACACACCCTGTTTTCTTACATTCACGTTAAACCCATTTTTTATTGTAATCAACATAATATGAACTTTGATTAATCTTTTCATCCTCACCTATGTTTTAGTTGTCGGTTGTCAAGAGTAACAGCCAAAGCATTTCAGATGATGGCTCAACCCCATCACCGAAGCGTGATTTTGAATCAATGCATGGTGTCCCAGCCGGATCTTCCACTTCGAAGAAGCATTGCCCCAAGCAACTTCCTACAGAGGCCAGTAGAGAGCTGGTCAATCCGGATGGACTAATTAGCCAGCATCCTGAAGCAAATAAAAGCGAAGCTAAGCTCCACCAACTCACCGAGAATTGACGTTAAGCGTAGCATGCAGAAGAGTCTCCAATAATTAATTGTTTTCAATAAGGATCGAGCTTATGTTCTCCATGTGTTTTTCTTTTGCTAGACACTTGGTTTGTTTTTATTTTGCTAGACACTTGGTTTTCTATTTATTTCATATCTTTTTCTGGCAACTTTTTAAAATAATGGAGTTCTTTGTTTTACATTGTCTTCCTTAACTATATTTTTCTAGATCAACTATCAATACACAAATACAACATGGAGAATTTTCCAATGAGTAGGATACGTACATAATAGATGCCAAGTACATGCTCTGAAACGTCATATACAAATTAACCGCAGTTATTGGATTACCTTTAAGTAATGTGATCTACAAATGTTCAAGATGTTTTAACCTTTATATATTCATAAACCTAGAAAAATATAACGCAAAATTTATTGGAAATAATGTGATCTATACTCTGTAAATAATGTGAGGGTGTCAATAGACATGTTTTTGCAAAAGATGACACTCTCTAATTATATAACCAAATTATATTTCATATAAAAATACAAGTAATTGGACGATTAATTATTCTGTTTAAGATTTGTATTTTGTAAAAGTTAGTTCTTTATATAGGTGGGAATGTTTATATATTGTGAAACCGGAAAAAACTCAATTGTTATATTTTAAGCTTGAGTGACAAGTTTAATAGAACACTAAACCTCCAGTCACGAGGAAGAGGAAATTGACCTCAAGTAACAATGAAAATGTAGATCCAAACTCAGAACCGGTAACATGCACCCATCTCCTTTTTTTATTTTATTGTCTAATTGATGAAGTAGAATCATGATGAGGATTTGGTTTCCATGGTCAGGTGAAAATGAGTCAAGGTTACAGAACTTACAAAAGAGGAAGAGACAACGTGGAAGGAGAGTACTGCAGGATATCTCACCAGATGACGATGATGTTTTTGGAGGATTTTCGGATGATAACCTGGATTTTCGGTCTGGTCGACCGTGATGCGATGATCTCGGTCGATCGGTCCATTGCCTCCCGGGTCGGACGGTGCGGTCGTGCGGCCGGATCGGTCCTGGAGAAGGCCGAGCGAAGCCAATACCCTTCCTGTCCGGCCGAGTGCTTCGGCCGGCTGTGGACCAGTCTTCAGTACAAACGTGATATCTCCTAAACGGCTTATCCAAATTGCATACTTACAACGGCATTAGAACAATACTCATCTGGCTATCTGTTGAGTTTCATTGAAATCCATTGAGTTTAAGGGTCTAATCCGCTGCTGCTCGTCTGATGTACTGATGCAGTCCGATAAATCTCCTCGGTATATGTCTCAGGGAAATAGAGATATCTCCCAATCTACTCGGTAAATTGATTGATTTCAGTTGCATTGCAAAGCTAACTCCTGTATTCATCTCCTCGAACTGATTTGATGAATTCCATTGAGTAGATAGTTTTTAAGGCCCTTCTTAAGTTGATGCTACCTCCTGGAGCGGTCTTGAAGTCCAAATCATGTGTTTTGCTCCAAAATGCATCTTTTGACCTGTTTAGACTCTAAGTACTATAAATCCATAAAAACTACCTTTTTAGATCAGAGAGCCATTAAAAAGCTTATGAAAAGCATAGTAAAACCATATAAAAAGCATGTAAAATAGAGGTATATCACACACCCTGTTTTCTTACATTCACGTTAAACCCATTTTTTATTGAAATGAACATAATATGAACTTTGATTAATCTTTGAATCCTCACCTATGTTTTAGTTGTCGGTTGTCAAGAGTAACAGCCAAAGCATTTCAGATGATGGTTCAACCCCATCACCGAAGCGTGATTTTGAATCAATGCATGGTGTCCCAGCCGGATCTTCCACTTCGAAGAAGCATTGCCCCAAGCAACTTCCTACAGAGGCCAGTAGAGAGCTGGTCAATCCGGATGGACTAATTAGCCAGCATCCCGAAGCAAATAAAGCGAAGCTAAGCTCCACCAACTCACCGAGAATTGACGTTAAGCGTAGCATGCAGAAGAGTCTCCAATAATTAATTGTTTTCAATAAGGATCGAGCTTATGTTCTCCATGTGTTTTTATTTTGCTACACAGTTGGTTTTCTATTTATTTCATTTCTTTTTCTGGCAACTTTTTAAAATAATGGAGCTTTTGTTTTACATTGTTTCTTAACTATATTTTTCTATATCAACTATCAATACACAAATACAACATGGAGACTTTTCCAAACTGAGTAGGATACGTACCTAATAGATGCCAGATTTCAACATGCTCTGAAACGTCATATACTAAATTAACCGCAGTTATTGGATTACCTGCAAGTAATGTGATCTACAAATGTTCAAGATGGTCTAACCTATATATTCATAAACCTAGAAAATATAACTCAAACTTTATTGGAAATAATGTGATCTATACTCTTAAATAATGTGAGGGTGTCAATAGACATGTTTTTGCAAAAGATGACACTCTCTAATTATATAACCAAATTATAATCGAGGTCAAAAAATACAATTAATTGGACGATTAAATATTCTGTTTGAGATTTGTATTTTGTAAAAGTTAGTTGTTCATATAAGTGGGAATGTTTATATATTTGAAAAGTTTGGTGAAACCGGGAATCTCAATTGTTATATTTTAAGCTTGAGTGACAAGTTTAATAAGGAACACTAAACCTCCAGTCACGAGGAAGAGGAAATTGACCTCAAGTAACAATGAAAATGTAGATCCAAACTCAGAACCGGTAACATGCACCCATCTCCTTTTTTTATTTTATTGTCTAATTGATGAAGTAGAATCATGATGAGGATTTGGTTTCCATGGTCAGGTGAAAATGAGTCAAGGTTACAGAACTTACAAAAGAGGAAGAGACAACGTGGAAGGAGAGTACTGCAGGATATCTCACCAGATGACGATGATGTTTTTGGAGGATTTTCGGATGATAACCTGGATTTTCGGTCTGGTCGACCGTGATGCGATGATCTCGGTCGATCGTGGTCCATTGCCTCCCGGGTCGGACGGTGCGGTCGTGCGGCCGGATCGGTCCTGGAGAAGGCCGAGCGAAGCCAATACCCTTCCTGTCCGGCCGAGTGCGTTCGGCCGGCTGTGGACCAGTCTTCAGTACAAACGTGATATCTCCTAAACGGCTTATCCAAATTGCATACTTACAACGGCATTAGAACAATAACTCATCTGGCTATCTTGGTGTTGAGTTTCATTGAAATCCATTGAGTTTAAGGGTCTAATCCGCTGCTGTCTGATGTACTGATGCAGTCCGATAAATCTCCTCGGTATATGTCTCAGGGAAATAGAGATATCTCCCAATCTACTCGGTCAAATTGATTGATTTCAGTTGCATTGCAAAGCTAACTCCTGTATTCATCTCCTCGAACTGGATTTGATGAATTCCATTGAGTAGATAGTTTTTAAGGCCCTTCTTAAGTTGATGCTACCTCCTGGAGCGGTCTTGAAGTCCAAATCATGTGTTTTGCTCCAAAATGCATCTTTTGACCTGTTTAGACTCTAAGTACTATAAATCCATAAAAACTACCTTTTTAGATCAGAAAGCCATTAAAAACCTTATGAAAAGCATAGTAAAACCATATAAAAAGCATGTAAAATAGAGGTATATCACACACCCTGTTTTCTTACATTCACGTTAAACCCATTTTTTATTGTAATCAACATAATATGAATTTGATTAATCTTTGAATCCTCACCTATGTTTTAGTTGTCGGTTGTCAAGAGTAACAGCCAAAGCATTTCAGATGATGGTTCAACCCCATCACCGAAGCGTGATTTTGAATCAATGCATGGTGTCCCAGCCGGATCTTCCACTTCGAAGAAGCATTGCCCCAAGCAACTTCCTACAGAGGCCAGTAGAGAGCTGGTCAATCCGGATGGACTAATTAGCCAGCATCCCGAAGCAAATAAAAGCGAAGCTAAGCTCCACCAACTCACCGAGAATTGACGTTAAGCGTAGCATGCAGAAGAGTCTCCAATAATTAATTGTTTTCAATAAGGATCGAGCTTATGTTCTCCATGTGTTTTTATTTTGCTAGACAGTTGGTTTTCTATTTATTTCATTTCTTTTTCTGGCAACTTTTTAAAATAATGGAGTTCTTTGTTTTACATTGTCTTCCTTAACTATATTTTTCTAGATCAACAATCAATACACAAATACAACATGGAGAATTTTCCAATGAGTAGGATACGTACATAATAGATGCCAAGTAACATGCTCTGAAACGTCATATACTAAATTAACCGCAGTTATTGGATTACCTTTAAGTAATGTGATCTACAAATGTTCAAGATGTTTTAACCTTTATATATTCATAAACCTAGAAAAATATAACTCAAACTTTATTGGAAATAATGTGATCTATACTCTTAAATAATGTGAGGGTGTCAATAGACATGTTTTTGCAAAAGATGACACTCTCTAATTATATAACCAAATTATATTTCATAAAAATAAAGTATTAAAGAAAATAACACCGAACTCAATGCAAGGACAATAATAAACAACCCCACAAGAAAAAAACAAATAACAATAAAAAACCAACTCAAACCGTAAAAACCACCATCGCCGAATATCAAAAAAAACAGAAAAGATCCATCCAGTAAAAATCAATAACAAACACAAAAAAAAACAACCAAAGGAAGAGGGTCGACCGTGATGCGATGATCTCGGTCGATCGTGGTCCATTGCCTCCCGGGTCGGACGGTGCGGTCGTGCGGCCGGATCGGTCCTGGAGAAGGCCGAGCGAAGCCAATACCCTTCCTGTCCGGCCGAGTGCGTTCGGCCGGCTGTGGACCAGTCTTCAGTACAAACGTGATATCTCCTAAACGGCTTATCCAAATTGCATACTTACAACGGCATTAGAACAATAACTCATCTGGCTATCTTGGTGTTGAGTTTCATTGAAATCCATTGAGTTTAAGGGTCTAATCCGCTGCTGCTCGTCTGATGTACTGATGCAGTCCGATAAATCTCCTCGGTATATGTCTGAGGGAAATAGAGATATCTCCCAATCTACTCGGTCAAATTGATTGATTTCAGTTGCATTGCAAAGCTAACTCCTGTATTCATCTCCTCGAACTGGATTTGATGAATTCCATTGAGTAGATAGTTTTTAAGGCCCTTCTTAAGTTGATGCTACCTCCTGGAGCGGTCTTGAAGTCCAAATCATGTGTTTTGCTCCAAAATGCATCTTTTGACCTGTTTAGACTCTAACACTACAAGAATTCAGTGAATTAGCTAAGGACCGGCGAAGGCATTTCCGTAGCCATCGCCATTAGCTAAGTAAATGGTGAGAGATGGCGACATAAATAATAATGTTACTTTCGTAGCCAAATCTGTGGCAAATATGTAGCAATTCGTAGCTATATAGCTATGTACGGATTCTGTAGATATTTTGTAGCTAAATAGCTACACACTTGCTAGAGATGGGTTGTTGCCATATATTTTCAATTAGCGAAGGATAGCTACAGATATATATGTTGCTAAATGGCAACGATGTGTGTGCCGTGACCAATCCGTCGCATGTTGGCAATGACATAGCAACATATCTGACGTAGCTAAGTTCTTTACTGGAAATCTTTTATATTCACAAATCTTGAATTATTTTGATGGAAAGATTAATAACTTAAAAGATGAGAAGGCCCCTGAGACTTGAGAGTACGTATGAGAAGTCTCCATGTGGGAAACGTCACGTACGTTCTCTGAGTCGTCAATGGAAGTGATCAAAACTCTTCATAACAAGTTTTGGCTCTGTTTTTGGCATTTTGGCTCTGTTTTTTTGGAGTTTATCTGATTTTGTTTTCTGTTTGTTGGAGAAAGACTATGTGTTCTTTGTTCCTTTCACTTCTAACAAGAATTCAATGTTAAAAAAAAAGAAGATACATTTATGTTATGTTGGTGTAGGTCCAATCCCATTGGTTCCTTGTGAGCTTTTAATTAATTATTTTGTGTCAACTATCACAACTTGTTAGATTCGCATTGAACATAAATATTAATTACGGCACCGATCATCAGTATGTATAATGAGAAGAACAATTGTATCTCCTCACACCTTTCTCATCCTCAACTCAATCTCCTCTCACCACTCTCATTCTTAAAAATAAAAAAAAATCTGTTGAGCTTTAGCTTATAACACTAGAATTTTTAATATCCCGTGATTCTATAGTCAGTCACACTAATTAATTTTCATATATTTTGTAGCCATATAGAAAATTGAATAACACTTGCACCTTATGTTTTGGAAAGGTACTCGGCCAATTGTTTGGAAAGTTGCCACAAAAATGTTCCCCAAATTTTTCTGTTTCCCGCAAACAATTTGGTCAAAATTGATTTCGCGTGATTTGTTGCAAACTTTCCCTCTTCTCCAATTCGCGGCTCGCGGCTGATTATTTTCCCTCTTCTCATTCGCGGCTGATTTTGTTTCCCTCTTCGCCTTCGCCAAAAAACCCTATAATATCTCAGCCTCAATCTCTTCATCCACCATTTCTCTTTCACGGCAGAAAAACAGAATATCTAATTTCCTCACCCCATTACTCCTTTTCACTTTCGCCTACAGAAGCCTCTCACCCTTAAGGTTAGATTCTGCTTTAAATCTCTAGTTTAAGTTTATTGTTTGTGAAATCATGCAATTTAGCTTTGGGTAATTGATGTTTATTATGCTGAATTTGATTTAGTGTTCAAATCTTCTTTGAATCTCTGCTTGTTTTGGTGAAGCTACCTCTACAATTTTCAGTAATTGATGTTTGTACACTGAAATCGATTGACTCCATTTTCTTTAAATCTACCAGCGTTTATTATTTTGCTATATTGATGCTCTTCACTACTGAAATCCATTTACCATCGTTAACAAAGAAATCCATTACTATTTATTTATTTAATTAGACATGTATGCACAATATTGTAGTGATAGTTATCTTCATGTTGGCCTCTAATGTGTTTCAAATATCTATAATTGTAGTATGTATCCACCATGTCGCGGCGGACTACCCGCAAGGATTGACGTTGGACGGGGAGGACCAACTCGCTCAAGGGCATGGCGAAACCAGCTGAATCGCTCAAGGGGACGGGGAGATGGTATGCATCAACACATTTCTTGTTCAAAATCATACGCAAAGGTCAAATATGATATGGTACGAATGATTGAGTCCCTTAATTTATTATTATCTCTTTTCTATTTTCTAAACCCTTGCTGTTTCTTACTATCGATTCTTTTCTCCCCATTTGCCTTATTGCCTTTTGCTTTTTATAACCAATGTAAACAGATGATGAAGTTTGTTGGCAACCAAGGTTCTAACTCACAAACATTGATTACACCATTAATGCGAGAAGGTGCTTCTTATTCGGTAAATGATGGCAATTTGGATTTTGATTCTTTGTGTAAGTTATTTCTTTTACAATTTCACTAGTATGCTTACCTTTTGTAAACACATATACTTGTAGATAGGCAAGCTAAACAAAGGGAGGCTCTTTGGACTTGGAACAACACAAATGGAATTCAATGATCCCATTGATCCAGCAGCAGCCGTTGTTCTAGCTCGTTTTGAAAGGGATATGAACAATCTATCTGGAGCTGTTAACTTTATGAGCCAGCAGATGACGGCTATGTGTGAAGCTAAGGCAGTGACAGTGCCACCAGGACTTGGTGCCGAGCATTCGCCTAATCCATCTCAGCAGCTCCACACCCAAGCTTCTCCAACTGATCCACACATCCCATCACCAACTAGCATAATCTAGATTACATCCATGGCACTTCTTAGAACTTTTTTTGGAGATTAGTGAAAACTGAAGACAAAACAAGCAGAATCTTTTGTTATGTCTTTTGTTTTCACTTTTCAGGTTAAAGCTTTTGTTTGTTGACTTGTATGATGTATGCGGCTTTAAGATTTCTTGTTATAAGATAATTAATGTTTTAAGAACAATCTATATAGTTTTATGCTTTAAGGAAAAAAATGAAATCGAACAAGCTAAGCTACTCCTAATTATGAACTATGACAAAGTATGACTCCTATTTCAAATATGATTCCTATTTCAAATAAGATTCATATTTCATGTAGGAGTTCTATTCCATGTAGGATTCATATTCCATGTAAGATTCATATTTCAAATAAGATTCATATTTCATGTAGGACTTTATATTTCAAATAAGATTCATGTTTTGTGATGCTCTGTTTTTTAGTTTTAGGAGAATATCTCTCTTCTTCCAAATATCAATATAGTACTTTCCAGTGGAAAAAGCAATTAAATTAATTAATGTGAGTAGATTTAATAATGTAATATTGGTTTACGTCCAATCACTTCCCTCTATGAAAGCTTTAACTATTTGTGTCAACTACATGGCTTGTTAGCTCTGCATTGAACGTGATTATTAATTACGGATCTCAGTTTACGGATCAAAAACTTATTTTCCTCAAAAACTCAAACTCACTCTTTTTTTATGTTCTTACCTAAAAAATTCAACTACAACAATAAGATCGGACTGAAGACCAACGTACATGTGCACATTTCTGGTAAATTTTCTAAAACAATCTTCATGATTTACTTCATCAAAATGATGTGTTAGTCTCAGTGTCGTTGCTGTGATTCAAGAGGCTTAAGTCACATAAAATTAAGTAAAAAAAGGAATCGTGCATGAGAATAACTAGGATTGCTAAAGCCAATGTTTCTTATACGTTAAGGAATGTTTATTGTTAGTCTATTGATTTTATAAGTTCGTAAAGTTCGTGATTTTGTTTAGATTCACCACACAAAATAATATATTTTTTTTTCTCAGTAAAATGTCGTACAACAACATTTTTCAAGAGAGAGCATGGATGTATAGAAGATTAGATACATTAAGCAATGGCGTATCGGATGAGTTTCTCAATGGAGTACAATTATTTTTGGGTTTTGCTCAAAATCAACTTTCCTACAAAAACAGGGGTGATCTGTTATGTCCATGTTCGAGGTGCTTAAACCGAAAGCATTTAGATGCAAATACGGTGGGGAATCATTTATATGAAAGGGGATTTATGGATTTCTATTTCATATGGACGAGTCATGGAGAGCAGTGTGGTTACACCGGTGAAGCATCGACAAGCAACATTCAAAACCATGTTGGTGAAATGAATGCAGATTTTCCAAGGGAAAATATTGATGAGGAATTTCATGAAACTAGTATACCACACGTTGGATCCGATGAGAATAATTCTGAGGAACCATGTGAAGATGCGAGCATGTTTTTCAAGAGATTAAAGGATGCACAACAACCAATCTATGAGGGTTGTCGTGAAGGGCTTTCAGGACTATCGTTGTCATCACGACTCCTGACTATAAAGACCGATCATAATTTGCCTGAGGTGTGCTTGGATGCAATCTGTGAGGCGTTCACCGATTATCTGCCAGCGAATAATAGAGCGCCAAAATCATACTATGAGATGAAGAAGCTGACACGGTCTCTCGGATTGCCTATGCACAAGATAGATGTTTGTCAGGACAATTGCATGTTGTTTTGGAAAGGTGATGACAAATTACTGAAATGTCGTTTTTGCGGGAAAGATAGGTATAAACCAAAGCCAGGAGGTGGAGGGAAAAAGGTCCCTTATCAGAGGATGTTTTATATGCCTATTGGAGATAGGTTGAAGCGTTTATACCAATCGGAAAGGACAGCATCGCACATGAGGTGGCACGCAGAGCATTTGTCTCCCGAAGTCGAGATGCATCACCCATCAGATGGGGAAGCATGGAAACACTTCAATAAGGTATATCCTCAATTTGCTGTGGAGCATAGAAATGTTTATCTCGCCTTATCGACAGATGGTTTTAACCCCGGAGGAATGCATAGTCGAGATCATTCGGTGTGGCCTGTTATAGTTACGCCATACAATTTGACACCTGATATGTGCATGAAGAAAGAAAATTTGTTTCTTTCTATTTTAGTTCCTGGCCCTAAGCATCCCAAGAAAAGTCTGGATATTTTCTTGCAGCCATTGATTGATGAATTGAAGGATTTATGGACAAACGGCATCCAAGCTTATGATGTCTCGAAGAAACAAAATTTTGTGATGCGAGCGGTCTTAATGTGGACAATAAGTGACTTTCCAGCTTACGGTATGCTTTCTGGATGGATGACCCATGGACGACTTGCTTGTCCGTGTTGTCTCGATGAAACACAATCATTCTGGTTAAGGAATGGGAGAAAACATAGTTGGTTCGACTGCCACAGGAGATTTTTGCCTGAAGATCATGCTTACCGGAAAAATGTTCGGAGTTTCACAAAGAACAAATCAATTAGTGATTTACCACCTCCATTCTTGAGTGGTGAAGAAGTGCTTTACGAGAGAATCAACCAGATAGAAGGGGTTTTGAGATCTGTTAATTGTGGAGGTAATGGACATATACCTCGGAATATTAATGGTTACGGTGAATATCACAATTGGATAAAGAAGAGTATTTTTTGGGAGTTACCGTATTGGGAAAATCAGTTGCTTCGACATAATCTCGATGTTATGCATATTGAGAAGATTTTTTTCGACAATATCATGAATACGGTATTGAATGTGCCTGGAAAGACGAAAGATAACCTAAAGACAAGGTTAGACTTGCCTACGTTGTGCAATAGAAAAGGATTGGAGGTGAAAGATGGAAAGTCACCGTTTCCTATCTTTAGATTATCAAACGAAGCACGAAAAATCTTTCTCCGGTGGTTAAAGCGAGAGATTAAATTTCCGGATGGCTATGTTGCTGATATATCAGCTTGTGTAGACGAGGAAAATTGGAGGCTTACAAAATTAAAAAGTCATGATTCTCACGTTATTATGCAACGTCTAATTCCAATAGCATTTTCAGAACTACTTCCACGAACAGTCCATACAGCAATAGCAGGTACTTAATGTATTTATATAATTTTAACATAATATATATTGTCTCCTGATTTGTAGCTCTCTCTCGTTGTTGTTGCTTTTTCTTCATGCTCTGTTTTTTTTAGATTTTTACTCTGTTTTATTTCTTACTCTGTTTTACTCCACTCTGTTTTGATGAATCTGACTTAACTTCATCGTTTATCACTAATACATTTTATAATTATGTTTACAGATATAGCTCTGTTTTTCAGAAATATTTGTGGGAGGACTTTGAAAACAAGTGATGTTGAAGTTATGAAAACCGATATACCTGTGAAGATTTGCAATCTCGAAAAAATTTTCCCTCCTTCATTTTTTGACGTGATGGAACATCTGCCAGTCCACTTACCAGAAGAGGCTGCATTAGGGGGTCCTGTTCAGTTCAGATGGATGTATCCGTTTGAACGATTTATGCGTCACTTGAAGATGAAAGCAAAAAATAAAGCAAAGATTGGAGGATCGATAGTTGCTCAATGTATCACCGAAGAAATCTCCCATTTTTGTTCTTATTATTTTGCAGCAGATGGTCGAGGTTCACATCGTCACTGCATGACTAAAGGTGAAACTCAGTTTACGTACAATTACCCAGGTGTTCCTAATATATTTCAACCTAGCGGAAGAGTAAGCGGGAAATCTAAAGAAGCATGGTTAACAGAAGAAGACGCCCACATCTTACATACATTTCTTTTGCTTAATTGCGAAGAGATAGAACCATATGAAAGGTAAATAAAATTCGAAAGACATATTTATATACTAAAGACGTCAACTAACCATTTTTTAATAATCTATACGTAGGTTGTTTGAGGAACACATGTGTATGCACCAACCAGGCATTACAGATAGTGAATTGATATTGGCTAAAGAAAGTCAATTTGCATATTGGTGTAGAGACTACGTAAGCTTTAACTATATATATTTTGTATAAATAATTTAAATGATATATTAACTTAGATATAATTAACCTATTTCAAACGAATTGCAGATAAATGATTTAGAGCATGTGGATTCAAGTAATTGTGTTCCATTGTGGTTGCTGGAGTTTGTTCAAGGGCCAAAGAGGCATTATACATCATGGCCGATCTTTTTCTCTAGGAGCTATAAGTTTCACACATATGACCACGGAGAACATAAGAAAACGATGAATTATGGAGTTTGTGTTCGAGGTTCGGTAGATTCGGAGTTCTACGGTCTTATAAATGAGATATTTATGATTGAATATCACGGTGCTGTCGATCTGAAAACTATAGTCTTTCGGTGTTCATGGTTTGATCAAACCATCGGACGAGGAATGCGAAGACACCCTTCTGGGATTGTTGATATATGTCCGAAGAGACGCTACGGAAAGTATGATCCTTTTATTGTAACTGATCAAGCAGACCAGGTTTGTTTTATTCCTTACCCTCGTATAAAACCTAGCAACGAAGAGTGGTGGGTTTGTGCAAAAGTCATCCCACGTGGTGTTAGATCTAATTCTCCGCAACTTATCGAGTCAGCTTTACAAGATGAGAGTTACAATGAGATCGTCGTACCCGCAAACCTATTACATGTGACGGAACATGTAGTTGATGCTGAGATTGACGAAGAAATGGAGTTGGATGATCCACCAATAGTTGAAGAACCTACTATTGAAGATCACTATGAAACACCAAGTGAAGGTTCTTATTATGCCGAGTCTGAATGATTGGATTTTGGTTGAAAATTATTGAAGATCACTATAAAACTTCAAACAAAGGTACGTAACTTATATATATTAGATTAGATTTTCAATTGTAACATTTTTTTGGTTATATAGTTGTAGTATGATTCCTATTTCAGACATGAAATCGAACAAGCTAAGCTATTTATAAACTATGACAAAGTGTAACTTCTATTTCTAGTATGATTCATATTTCAAATAAGATCCATATTTCAAATAAGATTCATATTTTATGTAGGACTTAGGATTCCTATTTAGTCTAAGATTCATATTTCAAATAAGATTCATATTTCATGTAGGACTTCATATTTATTCATATTTTAAGATTCTGCTTTTGTAACAATTTTTTGGTTTACGAATATTATAACACCTAGTTATCATTTAGTTTGTGGCCATCGATGTTATTGCGTTCCTTGTCATATAGTTTCTGGCCATCGCATAATAACACCTAGTCCATTTACAAAGTTAAATAACAACATCCCCTTGTTTGTATGTTCTCGAAAAGTCTGGAAAGTTTCCACGAAACTTTTGGCCAAATATTTCACTTTCCCTCTATTTGTTTTCCCAAAATTTGCTTTCCCTTTCCAAAACTTAACCTTTTCTTCTTTTCCCTCTGCTCCAATCCACAGCTGATTCATTTCCCTCTTCTCTTTCGCGGCTCACATTTTCCTATCTCTCCTTTCGCAAAGAACGCTATAAGATCTCAGTCTCTGTCTTTCTCTCCATTTCTCTTTCACAGCAGAGAACACACAATATCCTACTCTCTCTCAATCGCTCCTTTTCTCCTTCGCCTCTAGAAAAGCCACTCATCTCGAAGGTTAGATTCTGGCTGGCTAAATCTCTAGATTGAGTTTTTTTTGGGTGAAATTATGCAATTTGGCTTTGGTTAATTGATGTTGTTCTGCAGAAATTGATTTAGGGTTAATTTTTTCTTTGAATCTCAGCTGTCTTTTGGTGAAATTGATTTAGGGTTAATTTCTTCTTTGAATCTCAGCTGTCTTTTGGTGAATTTATCTCTTCAGTTTTCAGAAATTGATGTTTATATCCTGTAATTAATTGATGGCTCTGTTCTTCTTTAGGTCTACGATGTTTCTTCTGATTATCATACCAATTTTTTTTGTCTCTAATGTCTTTCAAAACTCTGTAATCGTAGTATGTATCCACCACGTCGAGGCGGACTACCTGCAAGAGGTTATGTTGGACGAGTGACCCCTGCTCTCTCTAGGGCTGGTAATTCGTGTGCACCGCCGGGATTCCCTCTTCGTAGCATCACCGAGCTCTTGCAGGCGCCTGCACGACGAAACCAGCCGACTCTCCATCCCGAGAAGAGAGATGGCGCACTTTGGTAAGAAACCATTGTGTAAATTTATATAATTTTAACAATAATTTCTCTTGAGTAACTTAATATTATGCCTTGTCATGATAGGATCT